GCAGGTGTGTGCTCAATGTGTCGTGGCAGCCGCGCCACCTGGAGGGCTGCATTCAAAGATTCTCTCTCTCTCTCTCTCTCTCTCTCTCTCTCTCTCTCTCTCTCTCTCTCTCTCTCTCTTGGGCTTATTGCCTTCAGGGAACCCGCAGTGGGGGACACTGGCCAGGGACAGCCGTTAGCAGAGGGACCTAACATCATCCGAGTGGCCAGTGGGACCTAACATCATCTGAGTGGCCAGTTCAATGCTCTGTGTGTGTGTGTGTGTGTGTGTGTGTGTGTGTGTGTGTGTGTGTGTGCGCGCGTGTGTGCGTGCGTGTGTGTGTGTGTGTGTATGTATGTGTGACATGTCCGTTGGCATGCTGCCTCTCTGAGAGGTCACCAAAGGACGTCGGACCTGTTTTGGGCTATATTCAGATCGACTGAAGACAGCGGATGAATGTGGCCATTTTCGTCCAAAAATGAGGGTGAAATATGCTTCAAGATCATTGAAAAGAAGGCCAGTTCAGTGCGGCCTGGACCATGAGGCCTGTACCGAGTGCTTGAGACTGTACTCCGAGGCTGATGGGTCCTACGCTCCCAAAATCTAACCAACACGGCCTCCGTGTATATATATATATCGTCACAAATATATATATATATATATATATATATATATATATATATTTACAGTGTAATCAGTGAGCGGATTCTGCAGACTGTTGAGGGTTCAGCCTCCTGATGAGTCAGTGAAACTCCGACGAAACAGTTTGTCACAGCCCCTCATTTGTTGTCCTCTCCTCTCTCTCTGCCTACGGTTTACCGGGCAGTTCTGTTTGTGACGATATATATATATATATTCCTTTTGTTACAGCGTACGTATTTTTGGGTAGAAACATTCCCAAAACCGTTGAACTGCTTTGAAACTTAAAACTTGATTATGGGCCTCTCTGCACTACACAGCACTCTACATACATTTAGACGCGTTCTCCACCCAGCACATTCAAAATGTTGGACTCGTCGGAACGCAGCTGGTCCAGAAAGAGGCCAAATGCATGTAGAGAGCTGTGCAGTGCAGCGATGCCCTATTTGGCCCAGCACGTGGCCGACCTGCGGCCAAGTCCCACTAGCATCAGGCCTGCACTGCGTGCATGAGTTTCCTCACCACCTGCCTGAAGGTGCCGTGCAGCTAAGGAAACTCCTTTTTTTTTTTTTTTTTTTTTTTTTTAAAGCCCTGTGATATCCCTCTATCCTGCGGTGGTAAAAGAGCCGTCAAGATTGAGGGCTCAGCTGAGGAAACTCAACGCCATTTCTGCACATCTTCACAAACACGACCAGATTTCTCAATGCGGCTACCTAGTGGGGCTTGGCCCCGATATACGCGTTACCAAAGTATGTAAAACCGGGGTTATATCTTCAATATGCCCTTTGCAATAACAATGTTCATAGCCTCCAAATTTGAATACTTGAATTTGTAAGCTGTAACCGAAAAGTCTTCTCAAGCCTAGGCCCAACTGGAGACACCACGTGGCATCAACTCTGCTCAAGTTCTTCAGCATTTTCCATCACTCCATCCACGACCAGTGCTCTCCCCTCAGTCTATCACAAAGCTTATTACTCCACCAAATTGAATTCCAAATTCTTTCTGATTCCGCGCAATCCCACCGCAGGAGGGATGTAGTTTCTTCCTTTTTCTTGCGCCTACGACATAGGGCCTCGCCGCACGGTGCACGAAACGGAAAAAAAAACTACTTCGTTTCGTGAAGGCGTCGCCGCACAGCACCCGCACGACCTCTCTCAGAAAAAAGTCGTGAATGCGGTCAGACTCCAAGTTCGTGAGGCCTCACGAGTGTGCCTACTCCTCCCTGCCTGCAGCGCTCGCGAACTTGTAGGTCCTCCGCTGGTCGGCTGGAGGAGTTGCGAAATCTCACGAGTGTGCAGCATAACTCCAACCGAGGTCCATCCAAAAAGTTGAACCGTAGCGTCCGCAAATTTGGACCCTAGCGAAACGAGTCCTGCACTACTCTCGCCAGGGCGTTGTCGCGAGAGTTTTCGTGTGTGCTGTGGGGCCGTGAGGCAAAAAACGAGGCGAAACGGTGGATCAGGGCTTCGCGAGGCCTCGCGAGTCTGGTGTTCGTTTCGTTTCGTTAGTTGTGCCGTCCGGCGAGGCCCATAGGGCGTTAGACACTCCTATTGAAATCCTCGGGCAATTATAGGAAAGATTCATAATGGCTCAAAAGGAAAATTGGGCCTTTCGTTCCACCTGTCCTCGGGGACGTCGCCCGAGGACATTTCCTAAGACCTATGTCATGAGGACCAACTACATGCGGGCATGATGATAGCCCACCTCTCAGAATCTGACAAGCTCTTACAACTGACCCCATACAGGACAAATGACAGGGGAAACAGCTGTCACAGCAACTACACATAGGCACAACTGGAGTGCTGGACAAATTATAGCCCATTTCACAACAGATGCAGTACACTAGGCAACAGGAGAACACATCGCATCAAAATGACTAGTAAACTGTGCATGTTAATAGCATAAACACTCACCAGGATCTACTAGATGCGGACAGGACGACAGCCCACCTCGTAGAGCATGATAAGCTCTTACAACTAACTTCATGCTCACATGGGTTATAGCCTACTTCACATCATCCACATCTACACTATGATCTCTTACGATTACTCTGATATCACATGCTCGCATGGTGACTTCCAACTGGGGAACTCAAATATGTTTTACAGGGACGCTGGACCTGATTTCCAGCAGGTGCTGCTCCCCACCAATAGATGGAGCCACCCAGGAACTGCTAGTGTTGCCTGATCACATCAGCATCACTAGCAGTTACCCGGGCTGTTTGGAAAAAAAAAAAAGAAAAAAAAAAGACCTATGTCAGCAAAAAAAAAAAGAAGAGAAAAAAACAAACCAGTTGTGCTTCAGGCTTGGACCCCACAGGTTTCCGCCTGGAAAAGTAGTTTTCCATTGCAAAACGGCCGAACGATTTCGGAAACCTTGGAAAAGCTTTTTCCGGGACTCCACAGCGGTGTGCGTTTCGCGGCAAAGCGGGCGCCGAATTTTCCTTTTCGGGAAAGGTACCGTGCGGTCGACCCGAAAAGGAAAGTCGGGCGGTGTCCGGGTGTCTGGGGCAGGACCAAGCAGGACCAAGGGGCGACGCGTTGGGTGGCATTGAGTGACGCGGTGCCCCCTCCGAGCGACATCCACACACGCGGTTTCGGAGTGCCTGGGATCGGGAAACCGGGTCCTTTCCATCGGACCCTTCCCAGCACCGTTGTTGCCGTTAGCCTGCCCGCAACGGCGGCTTTTTGTATTCAAATTTTCGTTTGTTTCTCTTCGTTCCTGTCTGTCCTTCTCGCATGYCCGCGGTGATGCCTGTGGGCCTTGGTCCGTTTGCACACGRGTGACGCTGACATTCTYGCGGCCAACGGCGTCGACAATCCATCACACGKGCACGCACGGCATGGATACGGAAATGGACGAGTGGGATGACTCTACGTTCCTCCTGGTTTTCATCCTTTTGCAGTGGATGAACCATAGGAACGTTCTGGCGATGACCGTCATCCACGCCGCGTCTGCGGTTCCTGCGACGGTGCCAGGCATGTCCAATGCTCTTCTCCTGCTGGGTGGCGTGGTGATGCACGGCATGACGTTGACATCCGCGGTTGTGGCGATGGCAGGTCGGCGTATGGATGAGAGACGACGCGTTTGGGTTTTGCAACGCAGCGGCGGTGTGTGGGAGGATCTCCAACGACTTGGCAACCGGCACGAGAAGGTGTTTCAGCGTTTCTGCAGGCTCCCCCGACCGTTGTTTAACGAGGTGCTAGCTCGCATCGCTCCTCATATTTAGAGGCAGGAGACGAATTGGAGACAGCCTTTGCCGGCAGCTCAGAAATTGGCTTGCGCACTCATGCGATGGGCGACAGGAGGGTTCTATAGGCAATCGGCACACTCACGGGGTATGGGACTTGCAAGTGGCCTGCGCAGCAATGAGGATGTCGCTGATGCTCTCATCAGCGAGTATGGGCAGCTGCTTCAATTCCCGACTGGCAAAAGGCTTCAAGACACAATTGACGCTTTCGAACGGAAAGGGTTCCCCAGTTGTGTCGGGGCAATCGATTGCACCCACATTTACATAGAGAAGCCGAGGAACAGGAGGGGAGACTGTTATTACGATCGGACAGGCCAGTTTTCGGTGGTCGCGCAAGTGGTTTGCGACCATGAATGCCATATCACTAGTGCATACGTTGGCAGTGACAGTCGCGTGCTACGAGTCTCCCCTGTTTATCGACAAGCACAAGGGGCGACGGGTGTGTTCGCGATTGGGAGTGAAGTCCTGGAGGGTGGGCAGGTACTTCCTGGGTGACGCCGGTTACCCGCAGCTGCCATGGTTGATGACACCGGTTGGAGGGAACAACAGGACGCCAGCGGAGCAAGTTTATGACGACTGTCACACGTCAGCGAGGTCTTGCATCGAGCGCACGTTCGGCCGGTTGAAGAAGGTGTGGAGAAACTTCATGCGCCAGCATATCGCGAACATGAAAACTCTTTGTAAAGAGTTCATGGCCATTTGCATACTCCACAACATCATGGTGGAGTCGAAGGTGGAGATCGATCTGGAGCTTTCGTCTGATGATAGCTCCAGTGACGAGTGTGATGATCAGACGATGGCACGCCGCAGACGACGTGGCACACGAAGACGGCCCAGCGGTCCTCCTCCACCTCCAGAGGAAGACGCTGCGTGCGCCATGGCCTTGGGGAAGGAGTTGAGGGAGAGCCTGATTGGCCATGTCGCGCACCACGCGCGTCTGCACGGAGCTCCACGACCGAACCCGTGGCAGCGTTGATATTCTTCGGGTGTTTCATGTTCTTTATCAATGGAAAATGCGACTATTGACAGGACTTGATTGCGCACATGACTTTTCTCTCTCTCTCTCTCTCTCTCTCTCTCTCTCTCTCTCTTTCTCTCTCTCTCTCTCTCTCTCTCTCTCTCTCTCTCTCTCTCTCTCTCTGTGTCTCTCTCTCAATCTCTCTTTGTGTTATGGACCAATAACATCAATCTGTCACTCGAGGTCAGTGTGATGAAGGACCCATCGACGAAGTGATTATGTGCTTCATATGTTGATTGATGTGTGGATGCATGGTCGACTGATTCGTTCGTTGATTGCTTATGTGTGTGTTTGCTTGATTAATGGACTGGTGTTTTTTTTCCCAAATTCCGATAACGTGCAATGTTATTTTTCCATCTGACGCGAAAAAAAAAACAAAAAACACAAAGACTACTAATGATGTATGCGCTTCTTCTTCTCGCCGGGAAGCGCTGATGATGGGCGCACACACACACACACACACACACACACACACACACACACACACACACACACACATACACACATATTCACAATTCAATTTCTTATTATATTTGTATTTTCTTTTTTTCTTTTTGTCTAGAAGGCTTCTTGCTAACTTTTCTAAGAGTAAGCAAAAAGGTTTTTTTCAACAAGAATATTTAAAGTTTTAAGCTTCCATACAAAAAATAAAAAAATAAATTAAAATAAAATAATAATAATTAAAAATTTAAAAAAAAAAAAAAATCAAAAGTAAAACTATAAAATATTAAAATATTATTAAAAAAAATAATTATTAAATAATGATAAAATAATAAAATAATAAAATAACTGAAACATATACATACAAAAATATAAAAATACATTGGTAATAAAGAAACTAATTTAAGCCTGAACCTAGCTATCTTTATACTAAAAAAGAACACTGTTTTCATGAAATAAGGCCTCCACATAGCCCATGCTCCCCCCAATAAATGACGGATACACGATTTCACAATACATCGCACACCACACCTCCCACAAATTGGAAACGCTAGCAATTTATGCACAACTTACATCGACCGAAATACAGTTATGGGTCTGCGCAGCAATAAACACAATAGCGCAGATAACTTAACTAYAATTATACAAAYTTCACGCGCTACGCATAAAACGTTTCGCACACGGTACCACACTACCAAACAAAATAATGGTACAACCCACAGTACCACCACCCTGAAACGACACAACCAGGCACGGGACGAAAAGACAAAAACCYACACACGATGGACAGAAGAAGAAACGACAAACACCYGCTYCCGCCATAGCCAAAACTCTCCCCTTTAAAAAAACGACAGACAACAAGACAAAACCCCAYGGGCCGATACACGTACAGACAAAAGAAGAACTGAACAACCCTGACATCTTGACGACCATACCCACGCACATAATTACCGACTGCAATCCCACTACGACTCCCCCCAAAATCTCACSAGAACSCACACCCCATATGCACGTACCTATTGACCTCACCCAAAGGATTACATCACCTAGGCCCGTCACTTATGRTAAAGATAACATACGCARATACCCCCCCTACCCATTGCAAAATTAAGAAGGTCGCTAAACAAGAAGTCACTACACGCTGCTTTTACCCCCCCGTATCCGATTGCGCCACATACACCGCTCATTTCTGTGTAACAAACTCTGCCAAAATGGAGCTCCCACCCTTACACCCAAACTACCCAATCTATGGCATACCCTCCTTAATAACTTTAGTATTCCATCATATACCATTTACCCGCAGGTTTCATACCCTCTCTGCTATGCATCTTTCATGCAAGAGTTACGGTTGTTTCCATAACCGCTG